TAATCTAATGCTGTATATTTTGTATAATGTTGTATGTAATGTGTTTGTATGTTGTCGGCATTGAAATGCTGCCGTTGTAAGCCGCCCTGAGTCCTCCTTCGGGGGTTGAGAAGGACAAGGTAGAAATGTTGGAAATAAATAAATAATAAATAAATAATAAATAACCAAGGTGAAAGAAGGAAGTGCGAAAGCTGGGTTGCAGTTAAACATTAAGAAATCCAAGATTATGGCAACCGGACTGATCAATAACTGGTAAATAGAGGGAGAAAACATGGAGGCAGTGACAGACTTTGTATTTCTAGGTGTGAAGATTAGTGCAGACGCACAGACTGTAGCCAGAAAATCAGAAGATGTTTATTTCTTGGGAGGAGAGCAATAATCAATCTCAACAAAATAGTGAAGAGTAGAGACATCACACTGGCAACAAAGATCCGCATAGTTAAAATAATGGTATTCCCCATAGTAACCTATGGATGTGAGAGCGGGACCATAAGGAAGGCAGAGTGAAGGAAAATAGATGCTTTTGAACTGTGGTGTTGGAGGAAAGTTCTGAGAGTGCCTTGGACCGTGAGAAGATCGAACCAGTCCATACTTCAGGAAATAAAGCCCGACTGCTCATTGCAAAGAAGGATATTAGAGGCAAATATTAAGTACTTTGGCCACATAATGAGAAGACAGGAAGCTTAGAGAAAACAATGATGCTGGGGGGAAAGGAAGGAAAAGGGAAGGGGGGCCAACCAAGAGCAAGATGGATAGATGGTATCCTTGAAGTTACTGACTTGACTCTGAAGAAGCTGGGGGTGGTGATGGCTGACAGGGAGCTCTGGCGTGGACTGGACCATAAGGTCACGAAGAGTCAGAAGCAGCTGAACAAATAAACAACGTTAATACAGTAACCCTTATAAATTTAGTAATTTCCTTCCTGTGTCTCATCATGGAATGCTAGAAGCCTCTGACTTAAGACCAAAGAACTTGAGTAATTGGTTTTAAAATAAAAAAATGAATAAACAACAGAAACTCGATGGCACGAAATTCCCAGTAGAACATGGTCACTCTTAACGCAAACTATAGAAGGATATGCAAAGAACTGCATGAACTAGTCATAAAGAAGGGCAATTTCCAATTCCATCACTAATAAAATCCACCCAAAGGAATGTGGTTTTAGCACATAAGAATGCCATACATTGTTATTGTGGTGTACCTTCAAGGCATTTCCGATCTCTGGTCATCCTATGGCAAGCCTCAAAGGGTTTTCTTGGCAAGATATGTTCAGAATAATAATCATAATCTTTATTTATACCCCGCCACCATCTCCCCAATGGGGACTCGGAGCAGCTTACATGGGGCTGAGCCCGGACAACATATTACAGCAAAAATGAAAGCGACAACATCAAAATTACATAAAAGAAAGAAAAAAAACATATCAATACAATAACAAAAGAGGTTCGGCATTGCCTTGTTATGAGGCTGAGAGTGTGTGACTTTCCCAAGGGCACCCAATGGATCTCATGGCAGAGCAGGGACTTAAGTGTTGGTCTCCAGAGACAAACCGCAGTGCTCAAACCACTGCATCACACTGGCTCCTTAAGGTGTTAATGTCACTAAAACTATGGAAAAGTAGCCAGAGTGCTGTCAAGTGAAACTTTTATGTGATTGGAAAACTACTGAGAAAAGGCAACTCAATCACATTTGGCTTAAAAAGTGCTGATAAGTAGGAAGCTCAGTGAGGAAATACTCTCCTCTGGGAAGCTCACCTGAATCACGTCTCTGAATCTTTTCAGTATCAGGTGAAAACACTTATTTTCCTAGAACTTCAGAATGATGTTAAGTTTTGATATATTGATTTTCGTGCTGTTCTGTGTTGGTTTCATGCTGACTTCTTCTTGGTTTCAAATACTATGTGCCCTGAATTTGTACTATTTACTTGCATTTTATGTGTTATCAATTTTAGAACTTTGTAAACTACCATTGTTAGTTGGGTAGGGGGAAAAAAATTATACATTGAGGCCCCTTCTACCCAGCTGAATAAAATTCCACATTTTCTGCCTTGAATAGGAATATATGGCAGTGTGGACTCAGATAACCCAGAGATATTGTGGGATTTTCTGCCTTGATATTCTGGGTTATAGGGTTGTATGGAAGGACCCTGCTCTTCTTTCTTTCTCCATTTTCTTCCTTCCCTCAATATCATCTCCTTTCCCTCCAATAAATCCCAGTTAATATTATATAACTCATTATTATTATTTTACTGACTCAAAAGCACAGTATGTCACAGCAAACAAGATCTATATGCTGGATTTCGTATCACAAAATCACAAGTCGAACACTTCCCAAGCGTTTAGGACTGTGTGATGCATTTTCGAATGATGCGTGCAGATTCAAGTAAGGTGGCATTATTATTATTATTATTATTATTATTATTATTATTATTTCACTTTCTAAATTCTCCACTATAACCCCCAACTCATTTCAAGAAAGACTTATTAGAAGTATTATCTCTTTCCATGCTATTGCTGTTCTCAAAGCCCATATTCAACATACTTCAGGTATGCAAGATGCCCAAAATTACATTTAGTTTTGCAGTTGTTACGATACAGCAGGCAAGGGCAAACTTTGGCCCTCCAGATGTTTTGGACTTCAACTCCCACAATTCCTAACAGCTTACTGTTAGGAATTGTGGGAGTTGAAGTCCAAAACACCTGGAGGGCCAAAGTTTGCATATGCCTGTGATACAGGGCCCTTCCACACAGCTATTAAAATCCCACATTATCTGCTTTGAACAGGGTTATATGGCAGTATGGACCCAGATAACCCACTTCAAAGCAGACATTGTGGATTATCTGTCTTGATATTCTGGGTTATAGGGCTGTGTGGAAGGGCCCACAGTGATTGCAAAAGGAGAAGGAGGAGGAGAGGAGGAGGAGAAAGGAACACTGCGATGAAGAAAATAGCAAAATGAATGGTCCCTGTGCACACAGTGAGGAAATATGTAATCGGAGGCATTTTGCCTAATGCTTTCCACTCTTTTGATTCTCAATTGTGTCATCCAATTAATTTGCCAAGACCCGAAGAGGGCCTCTTGCTTCACAATTGATACCAACGGCAAATGCTGCTTTCCAGATCCAAATAATATGTTGTTATTGTTGCTTTGCTGCTCAGTTAGCACTACAGGCAGTTCCCAAGTTACAAACAAGATAGGTTCTGTAGGTTTGTCCTTAAGTTGAATTTGTATGTAAGTTGGATAATAATGACAATAATAAATCCCAATGGTGATCGGCACACTGAGTGCAGTGCCTAAAGACTTTGGCCTACACTTAAACACAATCGGCGCTGACAAGATTACCATCTGCCAGCTGCAGAAGGCCACCTTACTGGGATCTGCATGCATAATTCACCGATACACCACACAGTCCTAGACACTTGGGAAGTGTCTGACGTGTGATCCAATACAACAGCCAGCAGAGTGATTTTTGTCTGCTGTGGGCTCATATTGTTGTGTTTCAAATAATAATAATAATAATAATAATAATAATAATAATAATTGTGATTTTGTGATATGAAATCCAGCATATAGATCTCGTTTGCTGTGACATACTGTGGTTTTGTGTCAGTAAAATAATAATAATAATAATAATAATAATAATAATAATAATAATAATAATTTAAAACTTTATTTATATTATCCCTAAGGAGGCTCAGCACAGATTTCAACATATAGTGGCAAACATTCAATGCCTTCATAAAACAAGTACACATCACAACCCTTGAAAACAACATAATCCCTGAAAAGTTCATTTTTAAGTTTGAATCTAATCACCTCTCAACAAAAGTTTGCTCCAGGCACTGTCAGGCCATTATATGCTAATCAAGGTGGTCAGTTGAAACATTCACACCTAGCTCCAGCAGGTGTGAATGTTAAAGACAAGAGTCCTTTGTCCCACCCTGGTCATTCCACAGATATATAAACCCTTTTTCCTAGTTCCAACAGACCTCACTACCTCTGAGGATGCTTGCCATATATGAAGGCGAAACGTCAGGAGAGAATGCCTTTAGACCATGGCCGTATAGCCTGAAAAAACCTACAACAACCCAGTGATTCTGGTCATGAAAGCCTTCAACAATACACCAAACAAAATGTTTGCTGATATAGCTTTGGGATGAAGAGCAGTGGAAGGAAAATCTTATTAGACATTTCTCAAACTTTAAAAATGTGGCATAGACACCGAGAATTGGGAATCCCTGGCCCTTGAGTGCTCTAACTGGAGGTCAGCTGTGACCAGCAGTGCTGCGGGATTCGAAGAGGCACGAATGGAGGGCGAAAGGGAGAAACGTGCCAAGAGGAAGGTGCGCCAAGCCAATCCTGACCACCTGGAAACCAATGTCTTCACTGTGGGATCAAGAATAGGGCTCCACAACCATCTATGGACCCATCACCAGACACTACATAAGGAGGACCATCAGCCTCGGGCTATGAGGGATCGCCTTAGTATCTCAGATGTGTGTGGGGTTTGGATTGAGGCAAAATGAGCTGTCCCAATTAGATTTCAAGACACATCCACACACTCTGAGCAAAGGGTGTTTGCAAAGGGAAGGCCATTGTTGGGCATTCATGACCCATGTCCTCCTTCCCCTGGATCGGAGCTGCTCTGGCCTCCCTCCAGAGACACAAAGAAAGACTTGAGACTGAAGTTGGATGGCTGGAGTTCAGCCCAGGCACCGTTGAATCCAGGGCGAGCGCTGTGGGAGTGAGCTTTGGGGGAAGCAGGGACATGGAATTACTGTTTGGGTGGTGCAAGTAAACCCTGTCATCACATCTGGACTCATCTCCTACTACTACATTGAAAGGCCAAGCTTGGAACATTGGATTTTTGGACTACAAGCCTAAGCAGCAGAGATCCTGCTGTTAGGAATTGTTGGAATTGGAGTCCAAAACACCTGGAGGGCCCAAGTTTACCCAAGCCTACTCTAGAGGCATCCCAGCTCCCAGGTGGCACCTTTGGGCAATCAGAATGGAAAGCACTCTGCACGTGCGCAGAGGCTATGCGCCTAATTGCAACTTTCTCCAGAAGTGCAGGGGGCGGTGCCGAGGGGAGGACCTGGGCTTGGAGGCGGATCCTGGGCTCATAAAGAGAAGGAGGCAGGGCAGAGGGAGAGACAGCAGCGCCGAGATGGCTGTGGAAAGCGCCCGGGGATGCGCCGTAGTCCTCATCCGGTGAGTAGCCACTACTCCTGCCTTTCCTCCGAGTTGGAGCTCCCTCCAGCCTTTGGGGCTTCAGTTTCCAGGGCTTTGTTGGCGTCCACGCAACCCAGGAATAGCGGCTGGAATGCCTGCTGCACAGCTTCTGGGTTCCTTGCAAGAGGGTAGTGGGGTTGGGGAGCTGAGTCAATGGGTAATATTTGTAAAAATATTTGTAAAAATATTTTTAATCTATGAATTATTTTTGGATATGTTTAGAGTATTTGTAATAATTATAGTAATAATATATAAATATATAATATGTATTTGTGTATCTAAGGAATTATCTAAGGAATTATTTAAGGAATTATTTTGGAATTTGAAATTATTAAGGCATTATTTTTGGATTTTTTTCGGAATTATTTTTGGATATTTTAGCAATTATTTTGGCAATTATTTTGGGATGTGTTTAGAGTATTTGTAATAATTATAGTAATAATAATATTCATAATATCTGTGTGTATTTATCTAAGGAATTATCTAAGGAATTATTTTGGAATTTGAAATGATTTAAGGCATTGTTTTTGGATATTTTTTGAATTATTTTGGATATTTTAATATATTTTTAGGATAAATTTTGGATATATATGTGTATGTGTTTAAGGAATTATTTTGGAATTTGGAATTATTTAAGGAATTATTTTTGGATGTTTTTAGGGTAAATTTTGGATGTTTTTAGGGTAAATTTTGGATGTTTTTAGGGTAAATTTTGGATATTTTTAGGGTAAATTTTGGATGTTTTAGGGTAATTTTTAGGATGTTTTTAGGGTAAATTTTAGGATGTTTTTAGGGTAAATTTTAGGATGTTTATAGGATAAATTTTAGGATGTTTTTAGGGTAAATTTTAGCATATTTTTAGGATAATTTTAGAATATTTTTAGGATAAATTTAGAATATTTTTAGAATAATTTTAGAATATTTTTAGAATAATTGTAATAATTATAGTAATAATCTGTATAATATATATGTGTGTGTGTATATATATACACACACTAATATTTACAGATATGGCCAGTCTCATTCTGCCTGCCTCCCTTTCCTTTTCCTCCTTAGAGCCTCCTAGGGCCTTAGATATGCCATATGGCTCCTCTTTCCTGGGGTGCAGCTACTACAACATGCAGTTTGAAACCACTATAACACTATGTAACACAATTCCTAAAGGGTTCTATCATTTAAAAACCTTGGGGAAAAAAGTTTTATTAAACTGCAGAAACTTTGTGTTGTCGAAGGCTTTCATGGCCGGAATTACAGAGTTGCTGTGAGTGTTCTGGGCTGTATGACCATGTTCCAGTAGCATTCTCTCCTGATTTTTCACCCACATCTATGGCAGGCATCCTCAGAGGTTGTGAGGTCTGTTGGAAACTAGGAGAGTGGGATACACAAACACACTAGATTATTATTACAGATATTATCAAAGTTATTCCAAAAATTATTCCAAAATTGTTCCAAAATTGTTCCAAATAGTCTAAAATATTCCAAAAATATTGTTCCAAATATTATATAGGACCAGCTAATCACCTCCCAACAAAGGATTCCCCCAGGCAGGAAGCACCCAAGCCTTGAAGCTGCAAAGCTATTCAATGCTAATCAAGGTGATCAATTGCAGCATTCACACTTGCCTCAAACAAAAGACTTCTGTTTCCCACCCAGGACATTCCACAGATATATAAACCCCACTTGCTTAGTTTCCAACAAACCTCACAACCTCTGAAGATGCCTGCTATAGATGTGGGTGAAACGTCAGGAGAGAATGCTTCTGGAACATAGCCATACAGCTCAGAAAACTCACAGCAACCCTGCAAAAAACTTCGTTATTGCGGTCTTCACAAACAGTTGGGAATGGCACAAAAAAGGTTCTGGAGTAGAATTACTTTCAAAGTAAGTACCGGACAACGAAACAGGAAATAACACTTTCAAACCAGAAACAGAATATCTTTTGAGATTGTTGCATAGTGTAATTGTCATGCCTTCTGTTGTGTCTCCTAGGAGAGCCATGGCTTGTGCAACTCCTCACTGCTCTTTTGTCTTCCTTTAGGCAATTAGAAACACTCTTTACAAGGAACAGTTTGAATCATTCCTTACCCCGAAATGTCCGGGCCCAGAGAGAGTAGGGTTTTTGGAATATTTACTTGTATGTATGGAGATATATCTTGGGAGGCGGGACCCAGGTTTAAATATGAAGTCTGTTTATGTTTCCTATATAAACTTACACAAATATCCTGAAGGTAATTTTTACACAAATGTTTTACTGTAATCCTTTAATGCAGGAAAGAGAGTTTGTGTACATTGAACCACCAGAAAGCAAAGCAGCCCCAATCTCATCCAAACATGTTGGGAATTCCATAGAAGAGGGATGCTGAGCTTCTGCATTAGCTAGCACTGATCTAATACACTGTAAAGAAACTTTGAAAAACTTTCCGTTCTTGGTTCAACAGCATTATGTTTTATTTAATCATGTGGTACTTACTTTGAAGTAGTCATTCATACTCAAGAAACTTTGTTTTTGTAGCTGCCACAAACTATGTTGAATTGGTTGAGACTCTCGGACAGGCATGGGCAAACTTGGGCCCTCCAGGTGTTTTGGACTTCAACTCCCACAATTCCTAACAGCCGGTAGGGAGTTGTGGGAGTTGAAGTCCAAAACACCTGGAGGGCCCAAGTTTGCCCATGCCTGCTCTAGGACATACTCATCAAAAAACTATAGCAAAATGTGCTGCAGGATGTCCCACAAAAACAAAGTTTTGGCAGTTTAATAAACTTTAATAAATAGACCTCACAACCTCTGAGGATGCCTGATATAGATGCAGGTGAAACGTCAGGAGAGAATGCTTCTGGAACATGGCCATACAGCCCAGAAAACACACAACAACCCAGTGATACCAGCCATGAAAGCCTTCAGCAATATAATAAACTGTTTCCGCGTTTTAATGATAGAACCAATTAGGAAATGACATTTATAATCCAGGGATACATAGTGATATCTGTGACTTTATGACTCAGGCAATGCAAATCCATATATTTCCTGAATAGCGGAAAGGCAGCAGATCCTGTCCAATTCTTAGAAGTTAAGCAGGGTCAGCCCTGGTTAGTACTTGGATGGGAGACCGCCAGTGAACACCACCACTCACTCTAGGCTTACTTAGTTGCTTTCATGGGACAGCGTTCTGCCCTAGGGTCCTCCAAGGGCTGAATAGACCATGTTGAAACCCTATGGAAGAATTACAACCTAGTTATAAGTAAAAATACAATTTCTGGAAACTTTTAAGTAAGAAAATTGCCCTTTTTTAGGAGCCTGGGTTTAACTGCCTTAGAGGTGCCAGATCTTGTCTGATCTTCAAAGCTAAGCAGGGCCATCCCTGGGTAGTACTTGGATGGGAGACAAAAAGTTCCATATGTGGTCAGTTATACTTTAGAGGAGGAAAGTGGCAGAACCACCTCTAAGGGCCCTTCCACATCCCAGAATATCAAGGTAGAAAATCCCACATTTTTTGAGTGTGGACTCAGATAACCCAATTCAAAGCAGATATTGTGGGGTTTTCTGCCTCAGTATTCTGGGATATAGGGCTGTGTGGAAGGGCCCTAAATATTCCTTGCTTAAGAAAACCTTACAAAACTCATAGCATCATCATAAGTCAACAGGCAACTTGGGGCACATACATGACAACATACAGGGCTAGTAGGTATATGTTTGGGGTGAGGATGGAGTGGATAAGGAGTATCTAAATTTAATATATGTGAAACTTTACTACTCGGGAAGAAAAGAGCACTAGCTTAAACTTCCCTGTTTCTTTTTCAATCCTCCCTTAGAGTAGACCCATTAACACCAATAAGGCTAGGTACTTCTGACAACTGGGATCCAACTTCATAACTGTAACTATCCTAATTCACTGGGACTATACTCATTCCATATAAGGAATTCTCAACCGCTAATTCTCAGCTTCAGGAAACACAAAAGAAATAATAGGATTGCTCAAGGAAGACAGCAACACCTAAATGAATGTCCATGCTTAAGGTGTAGACATTCTTGTGTGAATCCAACCCATTGTTTGGGTATTACATGGGGTTCAGTGGTGTGTGATGATAATTGACGTTGAACTTGGTACAAGGTGCTGGTTGATAAGACTTCTTGAAATCAATTTACTTTAAACCAGCTAAATATACTGTGAAGCTTTCTGTCTTTGGTGTGTGTAGTTAATAGTTAAGGTGCATTACAACACTAGAAATTTGGGTTTGAATCCCTGCTCAGCCATGAAACGCATCAGGTCACACACTCTCAGCTTCAGAGGAAGGCGCTCTTTAACTATCTTTGAACAAGCATTGCCACAAAAACCCTGTGATAGTTGCCGTAAGTTAGAAACAAGGTGAAGGCAATGATAACAAATTATTTCCTCTTAATAATTTTTTTTTTCATGTCAGGAGCGACTTGAGAAATGACAAATTGCTTCTGTTGTGAGAGAATTGGCCGTCTGCAAGGACATTGCTCAGGGGATGCCTGGATGTTATGATGTTTTTCCATCCTTGTGGGAGGCTTCTCATGTCCCCACATGGGGAGCTGGAGCTGACAGAGGGAGCTCATCCGCGCTCTCCCCGGATTTGAACCTCCAACCTTTAGTCCTGCCGGCACAAGGGTTAAACCCATTGTGCCACTGCGGGCTCCTACTCTTAATAGATGAGATATAGTTTTAAAAAATGGAAATATGTTTGGGGAAAACTTCCTATCTGTGAGAGCTGTTCAGCAGTGGAACTCTCTGCCCCGGAGTGTGATGGAGGTTTTAAAGCAGAGGTTGGATGACCATCTGTCAGGCATGCTTTGAATGCGATTTTCCTGCTTCTTGGCAGGGGGTTAGACTGGATGGCCCACAAGGTCTCTTCCAACTCTATGATTCTATGTAGATACATAGAAATGCATAGGTAAACCTAAGTGCACCAGATGCCATCTGATTTTGGAAGCTGAACAGGCTCAGCCACAGTTAGCA